AAAAGTAACTAAAAATATAACTATACATTGTAATAATTTCGATACTACATAATGTTATTTATTTATAAAAAAAAAAGGAGAAGAAATATATATATATATAATTAAATCTGCACTGCGTTCACGCTTGAAAAACTTTACCGCGGCTTTCTCTGACACGTGGAAAGCAATTATATTCGTTGATATATGTTTCTCATATATAAACCGATATCGGTTCGCCTCTGTGCGCTAGGAGCTAGAAGTAAGGGGGAAAGCTTGCTGAAACTTAATCTTTAAAAGATAATTTAAAAGATCATTTATATCATTGAAATGTGACGGAAAGTTAAATTTCTTTTTTCCCCGAGTTAGGAGTTAGTTCATTATTTCTTGATCTATCATGCCTACGCTATCATTTCACACTTCACTTCCTTCGTGTGGACAGTTAAAGAGCTGACGAGAACCACTTCGACACCTATTCGCCACAGCATGGAATTCTCGGACAAGCACGGATCGAGGAAGCAAATGGATAGAAAGGGGAAGCACCATGGATTCGGGCGAGAAGCTGGTTCATTGTCGAAAAATGGAAATATGGGTCACACAACGCCGATGTTAAGGAGAAACAATTCGAACGTGTTGACGGATGTCACGGTGAAAAAATCGAAAGTTTCATCATATCCGGCACCCGCACCTGCGCCAGCGCATTTTACGCCAACCCAACTGAGCGTTCAGAATAGCGTCACATCGCTGCGACAACACTCGCGATTAAACTGCGTAGGATTGATGTTCGCTTTCCTAGTGATAGTGATCTGTAGCTCGTAAACAATCGGCTGTTTTTCCAAATGTACGAAAGAGTACAAATCACCTTCCATGCGGATTAAACGTTTAAGGGATTAAATGAGAACAGAAAGAAAGAAAGGAAACGGAAAGAAAAAAGGCGGAGAGAAGGGGAGGAGGAACAAAAAAAAAAAAAAGAATTTCCTTGAAAAAGTCCATTTTATCCCAACTAGCGTTCGTTACGTTTTACGTTGGAAGTCATATTTTAGATTCACTGACGATGTTCTTTTATATCCGTTTTTTATCTCCAGCCCGAGAGAAATGGACAGCGACGCTTCTATCGTGTAGTAAAGTGCACGCACAATCTTCGGGACTATAGGTGTTATTATTCGCGCGGGTGTGATCATATCAAATTAATGTACGTTGTTCAGTGGTGAAAAAAAAAAAAAAAAAAAAAAAAAAAAAAAAAATAACGAACGGTTTTTTATGACAATAACTGTAGCTGTATACGATAAATCGGAGGAAGAAAAAAAAAAAAAAATCATCGATCACCGATAAAATGGTCGCGGACCGTTGTCGTTGTCAGATACACGTGTAGAAAGCGTATCTTCGCCAAATCGATGGACATTCGTTTCTAAACCGATCTCTAGTCACGCTGGCGAACGCAGCAGATGTGACGTATAGTTATTTTCGAACGCGGTCAGTAATGTTAATTGTTTATATATATTTTGTGCGTACGCATGTTGGAGGGACCGTTGTCCCTCGCTTTTCGCAAATTTTATTTCGAGAAATCGGTTGCTCATGCATGAATGTGATCGAACGAACGGGACGTGGTCCATTTTCGCACATCGGTTCGCAGAACGTTCACATTAGTAACAAATGAATGTATTGTTTATCGATGTTAACGTCTGAGTTGTGTATCTGTGTATGTATGTACGACAATAAACGTTGTTTTTACCAATTGTTTCTTCAATTATCCTTTCCATGGTATATTATCATTCATTCTGCATTTATGAATGTGATATTCATTATCAGACGTGATACTCAGACATGATGATATGTATTATTCATTGCCAGATATTGTCTTTAATTAAAATATAAAAAAAACCATCCCTATCGATATATATATATCCTGCAATTATACAAATTTGTTGCCCTTCTGCCGTGTCATAGCAGTTCGAGTGATTTTACATTCGTAAAGAAAGATTGATACCGAAACCATCCTTTGCATGTTGCGTTTTGTAAAAAATAGAATGATATATTAGCGAATCAAGTATAACTCAACGTCATTAGAAATATACTATATTTTCAACAAGCAAATTTTTCAACTTTTCGTTTACATGAGTATTGGGGAAAAAATGGACAGCACGAAATGTTTGTCATCCGTAGCATCGAATCCAAGTATCTCACTTACAGATGTAAACGAGTCGAGCTGAGATTTATTCAAGTACTTTAAAAGGAAAATATAGAAATACGATAACGTTTATACTTTTTTTTTTTTTTTTACATAGAATATAAAACGACTTTTTCAATCGGTGACAGAGTCCGATTTTCTTATCAAAAGAGGAAAACGTAATAAGAAGGATACGCCGCCCACGCGACATTCAGTTGCGCATCGCCCGAGGTATCAGAAACACACAGTTAATTAAATGCTCGTGTGTTCAACGCCGGTTTCTGTCTCACGCGAATCATGAAGCATCAGCTCAATGCACTTTTCATCTTTAATCTATTGGCAAACGTCATTGCGGACCCGATCAATTGTCAGACCGTTACCGAGACACGAGATAACAGCGTCACGTTCTTCTGCACGGAGGTAACGAGTTTAATGATATTGGAGAAGGCGAATACCAACAGTACGTACATCGAGATTTCGGATTCGAGAATACCCGATGTACCAGGGTAAGAAGAAATACTACTCAGAACTACGAAATATATATTTAAATCGAAAATTCAGTTCAA